GAAGGGTGAGAGCCAGGTGGGTTTCCATGACCAGTGTAAGCCTCTGTGTTAACCCTGTGTAATCCTCTCTCCAGGTTTGTTTTTCTCCTGGTCACTTAGGCACCCTCTATATCGTTTTGTGTGGGTTTGCCAGGTCTGTATTTCAGGCCAAACTTGGGTTTGCCAGGGATCTGCTCCCCAGGGATCTGCCAGCCCCCATACCACAGTTGCAATATGGTTTTTTCCTCTGTCCTCTCCTCACCTTCCCTGCAAAAGTATATTTTGCAGTATGCCTTTCCGTTTAGATGGGCAGTGTCTTTGATCTCTAACTCTCCATACCCAGACACGCCTCAGGCCTCCTTGACCTGCCTGTCTGCTTTCTTGGTTTCATCCCACGGAGCAGCTAGAAAAGCAATCTTCTCTACTCTGTCATCATAACCCCCTTCAACCTATATCTTTTGATTGAAGAGTTGAGACCATTTACATTTAATGTTATTATAGAGTGATGTACTTTATTTCAGTGCCATTTTGATGTATTTTTAATGTTTAAATTGGACTTGATGCTCCTCTAATGGACTCTCCTTCTACTGTAATGCATCCCTCTGCTTGTTTTCACTTTTATTTTTCATTTCTTCTTCATGAAATATTTCATTGAGTATGTTTTGTAATATAGGCTTTGTGATTCTGAATTCTTTTAGCTTCTGTTTGTCATGGAAAGTTTTTATTTCATCTTCAATTCTGAAACTTAATTTTTCTGGGTATAGTAATCCTGGTTAAAACTGATTTTCTTTCAGAGCTTGGTATATATTATTGCATGACCTCTGCCTTTTAGTTTCTGGGTGGAGAAATCAGTTGAAATTTGAATTAGTTTTCCTGTAAATGTGACAATCTATTTATCTCTTGAAAATTTTAAAATGCTATCCTTATTCTCTATGTTAGACATTTTCATAATAATGTGTTGGAGTGGATCTATTGTGATTTTGTATATTTGGTGTCCTCTATGCCTCTTATATTTGAATGTCCTTCTTATTCTTAATGTTTGGAAAATTTTCTAATATTTCATTGAAAAGATTGTGCATACTTTTAGTTTGTATTTCAGAACCGTCATCTACCCCAGTGTTTTGTAAATTTAATATCTTGATGTTTTCCCAGCATATTCTGGTTATGGTCTCTTAACATTTCTTCCTTATGGTCAGTTTTATTTTTGAGGTTATATTCTTTGTCTCCAAGGACTGAAAATCTATTTTCAAAATGGCCTAATCTATTGGTGACTCTTTTTTTTAAATTGGATTTAGTAGATTTTTATTTCCAGGATTTCCATTTGGTTCTTTTACAGAATCTTCATTTCTTTATTGAAATGATCTTTACTTCCTATTTATTTTCTCTTTCACTCTTATATTTCATGAACATTTTAACTATGAACTTTCTAAATTCTTTTTTGACATATCTTCCTCTGTGGTGTTAATGGGGTCAGTTGTTGAAGTGTTCTGAGTTGTGAGGTGGTTTGTTCTCTTGCTTTTTCATATTGCTTGTATATCTACTCATCTAATGGGATGGTTATTGCTTCTTCTTTTAAGCAAATGCCTACTTTGTTAGCGTTATTGTTTTTAAGCCCTGGTGTTGGAAGAATATCCATGTATTAATAGTTTAGCTCAATGTGTGGCCTCTATTGATTCCAGGATCAGATCCACTTTGAGAGATGTCACTGAAGCCTATTTTCTATAATGACTTCAGAGTCAAACCACATATACAACCTTATGAAAAGTGAAAACTTGTTGATATTGTTCTACACAATTGCTCTAATTTAGTGTAAACTTTTCATAAGTTTATAACTGGAACAGCCTGAAGAATTAGTTACTGAATAGAGTAAAACTGCTATAACATTATATTAAGGCTGAAAAGGGGAAGAAGATTGGGCAGAAGAGTGAGAAAAAGATAGAATAGAATGCTAAGACTGAATTATAAAGGTGAAAAGTGTGGATCCTAGTTGAAGTAGTGGTAGACAGTGTGAAAGGAAGAATAGGGGATAAGAGGAACAAGTGTAAACTAGGGATAGGAAGAATGATTCCAAACGATGTTTTAAACTGTTAGGAAAAAATGTATTTATGTAGGTTGAAGGTACGATGTTGGCTATTAAGGTAAACACAATCAAGATAGAGTTTTATATATCATTAAGGTTGACACTAAAGTTACTTATAGAAAACCATGCCAAGATGAGTTTCATTAGGATTTGGGACCTTTTGAAGGTGTCTATCATTCATTGCCCTTGAATCTTTTCAGAGATACTAGGACACAGGAGCCACTCTCCTAGTTGCAATGGACCTCCCATCAACTGGTTGGTTCTGGTTTGTCAGCTCAGGGGCCTGTGGCTAAGTGCTTGGAGGGTGTGGTATTGTGTCTGTTGTGTGTTTCTATTGTGTGAAGAAGTTCTGGAAGACTCTGGGCTGTGGCTGAGATTGTGGACAGTCCCCTCTACAGTGTCCTTTTCTTGGTGGTATAGATTCTGGTGGCTTCAATAAGCACAAGTCTTGTGGTTGCAGATTCTCTGCAGGTGATCTTTGTTGCACACATGTTCCCCTGGCCTGTGCAGCTCATTGAGGTTACTGTCATTACTCCTGGAGAATGGAACTCAGCCAGTTCATACTGTTCTAGTTCCACTGCCCCAGGTTTTGAATGACGGGTGCTGATTCCCTCTGCTGACTGTGAGTGAGTGAGGCAGAGTCCAGCCAGTATCTAAACCATGTCCTATCACACTCCATATTTGTGGTCAAGGTTCAAGCTGGGAGATGAATTGGGCTAGGAGAGAATTCAGCCTGGGAGCTCTGGTTGCCTTGGGCCCAGATGTATTATTGCTTTGAATGACCTCCTGCTGGCTGTGGTGAAGATCTCAGCACTTCCTCTTTCAGTGTCCCAAGGACTTAGGCACCCTCTTATTGTGGCTTTCTGCCAGCTTCAGCCACCATCTGGGGTTCCCTGCCTCTATGATGCGGGAGATTTGGAGATTATGGGCAGTTTCTCTCTGACTTGGCCCCTCACAGGACAGTGAACTGGAGGAAAGTCTCGCTAGTTTTCTTAGTTTTAAAGGATTACTTCAATCTCTCTGTTAAGTTTCTCTGACAGTGTAATGAGTTGTTTCTCTGTTTTCTTAAAATGTATTGAGTTTCCCTAAAATAGCCATTTTGAATTCTATGTAAGAGTTTTCATTTATCATTTGATTTATGTCAGTTTCTGACACCATTTTTGTCATTAGGTGAGGTGATTATTCCCTGGTAGTTCTTGAGGCTTTCTGAAATATGACAACAGCAGTATATTGAAAGATTAGTTGCTTATTCCCACCTTCATAATCTGACTTTGTTTGTGCCTGTCCTTTCAGAAATTCTAAACAGATGGCCTGTTTTCTCTAATCCTGTGATCTCTTCTGCTGTTTCATCCCTAGATCATGCCCTGAGTCCTGGTGTGCTGAGAGTCTCCAGTTGATTCAGTATGAATGGCGGGGGGCGGGGGTGCCTAAATAGGATAGGCTTTTGTCACAAACCTTTCTTGGGGAAGAATTGAGCTCAGATACTTTGTTAAAATGGTCAGTGGCCTATGATCAGATGCTGTGGAATTCTGACTGACTCTGGGCCTTACAGTGGGTGGACCATCTCTTGGCTTCTGTACAATGACTTGGTGCCTACTTAACCTTTTCTGCTTCCAAGTGAGCACTCTCTCTTTGTGGTCCTGCTTGGTTGGAAGAGTGTTGAGGTAGGCAGTCCTGTGTCTTGCAGACTTGTTGTGTCTCACACAGAGTCCATAGCCCATTGAGATCAGCATAGCACAAGGGCAGGACCAGGCCTACAGTGCTATATGCTGCCTACTGCTATGGTGTGAACATGGCCTGAGAATATTGTAATCAGCCACAGTTGATACTGTCCAGAATAGAAGTCCTACCCACAAGGGTCATGGGCTTCTGCCTGGTACTGGGTTTGGCCTGAAGACTTTGTGGACAGTCGCCTGGAGGTAGGAGGTAGGAGGCATTGGCATCTCCTGAGTGTTGGGTCTCACTGACCCGGCACTGAGTTCTAAGATAAAATCCTGTGCTTACTTCCCTATCCTAACCCTTAGTAAATTGAAGCTTGGTCTTTGCTGCGCCACAGCTGGTAGGAATGCAGGCTGAATCTTGAGTCCATCTTCCTGGGCTGCAGTTTCTGCCTAATTGTTGGCATGCTTAGAGGCTCTGTTTGTAAGTACTGACCTGGGTATGGGAGCCTTTGGATTCTGCCTGATGATGAATCTCACTGTACTGGGTCTGGCACTGAGTTTCAAGGCAAATTTCTATGCTCACTTTTCTGCTATACTAGTAAGTGGAGACCTTTTTTTTTGGTCCTGTGAGTGCTTCTTGAGGTTGGTGAAACAGTCCTATGGCCACCTGGCTAAGGTGAGGTCCTCAGGCTCAGTCTGAGGGTGCTGACCTGGGGCCATGGGTAGTAGGGCTCTGCTTGGTTCTGGGTTTCATTGTGTTGGGCCTGATTCCCTTTCCCTTTTCCAAGCAGGAGGCATCTCCTTCCACACTGTGTTGCTTGGGGTTGGGTAAGGTATGACATAGGAAACTCCATCCTGTCTTCCTCAATGTGTCTTTTGTTTTTATTATGCTAAAATCAGGTTTTTTTTTGTTTTGTTTTGTTTTTGTACAGGGATTGAACTCAGGGGCATTCCACACTGAGGCACATCCCCAGGCTCCTTTGTATTTTATTTAGATACAGGGTCTCACTGAGTTTCTTAGCACCTCACTTTTGCTGAGGCTGACTTTGAACTTGTAATCCTTTTGCCTCAGCCTCACGAGCTGCTGGGATTACAAGTGTGCACCATTGTACCTGGTTAAATACAAATTTTTGATGTTTTGTTACAGATTTTAAATCATATGTACTCAGATATTTAATAAGTACATTTAAAGCATTGTTTGGAGGGATTAATTGATATATAATTGTATTTTGTTTCTTATGTTAAATTTATCTTCACTTCAGTTGTTCTGGATTTTCTAGGAACAGGTATCTTACATCATTCCAATAGATCAGAAACCGTATACTGTGCACCTTAAAAAAAGGTAATTTTTTTAATTCTTTAGGTTTCATTTAATCTCTATGAAACTGTTCACTTGTGTTAAAATTGAGTATAAAAACTAAATATAGTTGTTATTAAAATTTTAGTTGTCTTGGATGAGCAAATACTTGCATGTGACATTTAAATTTTTGGTCCTAATATTTAAAGTAGTCTTTGTGAGTGGGGATTGGGAACTGAAACAAGTAGGGATTCAGTTCCTGAAGACTGCTTTTTTTTAGCAAGTTGGCAGAACCAGCAGCACCTGCATAATCAGAGCAGAGGGAGAAAAGGAACAGATCTGAGTCAGGGAAAATATGTGCTCACTATTGGAGAGTCTGGACTTGAATTGCTAGTGGGACACCCCAGGGAAAGTATTCAGTTAATGGTTAATTTGGTTTAGAACTTGGGAGAGAAGCATGAGATTCAAAATCCTTTCATGATTAAAAGGATTCAACAAGTTAGGTATAGAGGGAATGTATCTCCATATACAATAAAAGCGAAATTTGAAAAACCCACTGCTAATAATCATGCTTGAAGGTAAATAGTTGAAGGATTTCCCTCTAAGATTAAGACAAGGATGCTCACTCTCACCAGTTCTGTTTAACATAGCACTAGAAATTATAGTCAGAGCAATTAGGAAAAAGAAAGAGAAGGTATCCAAATTGGAGAGCAAGAGTTAAATTATCCTTGTTTGAAGGCAACATGATTTTATATATAGAAAATCCTAAGATTTCACCAAAACAAAACAAAACAATCCTATAAAACTGACACACAAATTCAGTAAGTTGCAGGTTATAAAATGAACTTTCAAAAATAGGATGCACTTCTGTACAGTAATAATAAACTATGTGAAAGGAAATTGAGAAATCAGTTCTGTTTATAATAGCAAAATTCCAATGGTATTTTTTTTACAGAAATAGAAAAAAATTCTAAAATTTATGTGGAGCCACAAAAAACTCCAAATAACCAAAGCAATCATGATCAAAAATGAACAAAGCTGAAGACACCACACTACACACTTAGAGAAGCTATGATAATCAAAGTCATCTTTTTAATACAAGTAGTAAACACAGTCAATGAACAAGATAAACCTATAGAAGTAGAGGATGAAGTTTAAAGGTGAGAATGTCAAAAAATGTAGATTTGAATGCCATGGAAATATTTAAGGGACAAAGGAAGGATCTAGATGAGGTGATTTATAAGGAGATATAGACAGAAGAGAAAGCATCATTAAAACCTAACAAAACTCCTGTAATCCCAGCAGCTTGGGAGGCTGAGACAGGAGGAACTCAAGTTCAAAGCCAGCCTCAGCAAAAGTGAGGCACTAAGCAACTCAGTGAGACCCTGTCTCTAAACAAAATACAAAATAGGGCTGAGTTCAATCCCTGATACCCCAACCTAAAAAAATGAAAACAAACCTAAGAGGAGATGGTGTTAAGGGAATGTAGCCAAGCATGAAATGCTTCAGAGTTGTTTTACTTGCCTTTAGACTGCCTTTTGATTTGACAACTAGATAGTCATTAAAAAGTTCTGTGAGACCTAGTTTAGTGGAGGCTTCTTAACTAATTTATGTAGTTGAGTTACACTGGGCTGGAGCGAACATGAGTTGGGGAAGAAACTAAAATGGTATAATAAGTACTGGAAATGATAATCAGAAATGATTGAATTTAGATTTGAAATTTCTAATTTTTTCTTAGTATTATTCCAAATACTAAGAATAATAAGACTTTTATGCAATACTCTTTCACTTCATTATCAAAGTAGTATATATGCATAGTACTAAGACCTAGAGTAAAGGAACTGAAAACTCTTTAGTCCTACATCCAATACATACCTTAAAAAATTTCCCTCCTCCTCTTGCACATGTTTTTTATTTTTAAAAAAGGACTCCATTAAGGTGGGAGTAAATCTATTACTTTGAATAAAATTTAAGTATTTCAACAGTAGTATTATTTCATACTACCTTTTTGTTAAAAGTTGACAAAGTTTTTCTCTAAAAATCCATAAAGTAACTATTCTGATTTTTGAGAACCATATGGTCTCTGCCTGAGCTACTTAACTCTGCTGTTGCAGCCTGAAAACAGCCTCAGACAGAATGTAAATGAATGGGTGTGGTTATGTTCCAATAAAACTGTAGTGAAGAGTGGGCAGGATTAGACCTGAGGATTTGTTTACAGACTGTTGCTTTGTATGTTTCACAAGGAATAACTTCTTGCATTCTTTCACTCTTTTTTATATTCAGATATTTTTTGGCAGATAATTTTATGGTCTATTTGCATAATAAAGGATCTGTGAGTTCTCATTCTTCAGATATTTTGGTAAGATTTATGTTTTATTTATTTTTTATTTTAATTTTTTTTGCTTGACTCGCAGACTTTATTTACATTTGTCTACAGCATCATTTCCTTATGAGATAAACTAGTACAGCTCAGTTAAACCAAGAAATCATAATCATCTGAATTGTCTGTAAACTCCTATTAGCTAAATTTATAACCTTGCATTTGCTTAGTACAGCCAAAGTTTTAAATACAAGAGAGCACAATAATAAACCAATGTAACATGTAGAATCTAGATCTTCATCTGGGCAATTTAGAAGGTGGACTTTCAAAAAGTCTGAGGCACAATTACAAGAGAGTAAAATTCTTATGGAACCTATAGTAAACGTAGCAAGGAAAATTAAGACATAAAAAACACGGGAAAGCTTGTAGTAAAAATATTATGAAAATATTTCTACATAAGGTATTTTGTTTTTAGATTGGTTGAAGAGAAAAACATTCACTTTAAAATAAAAACAAATATAATTTTGTTTGGTCTGTCTACTAAATACCTTAAAATGTTTAAAATTTTATTTAAATTGCAGCTGATAATGTTAAGGAAAAAGAAAAAAAAAACAGAAACAAAAACAAAAGCAGTATCCCATAACAAAAAGCCCCCAAGCACAATTTTTTATTTCCTCTAATACTTACCTTGCATTGTCACTGAAGACACTGTTAAGTGAAACCTTTTTATTTTTAAACCAGAAAACCAAATAGAGATCAAGTGACCAGATTTTAATTCTGAGAAATAAAACTCTAAGAGCATTTTAAGCTATAAGTTATTTCAAGTGAATAGGAAAAAAATAAATTTTTGCTTATATCATGCAGAAATAAGCATTCATTTGTTATCCAGAAGAAAATTTTATATAATGTGCTTAAACATCAAGGAGATTTATGTTTTATAATTTAAAAATTTTTTTTTTACATTGAATAAGTGCTTTCCTAATATAGAAAGCTCTCAAGACTCACAGGAGATATATTTAAAGTGTTTACTGATTAATTGTTAATTATTTCTTTAGGTCTTGGTAAACTAAAAGCAAACTAGATTGAGTTACTACCTTTCACATTGCCCAGAACATGGACTGTATTTGCTTATTTATTCATTTATATTTTAAATGAATATAAAGTAAGATAAACAGGCACAAATGTTATTGGACACAGATCACAGATGAACACCTTTTTTTCATCTGCCCATTGTATCTGTCAGTAAATTCTTTTGACTCTGTCCTTGAAACAACATACCCAGAGTTCACCCTCTTCCTTGTCTCCATCCAGTAATAGGACATATAAAGTATAGAGGTAGGAAATCATTAGAAAGTTATGTTAATTCTTAAATAACCAGTTTTCTTTTTTTTCTTTCCTAGACTCAATGCTACTATCAAGGATACATTGAAGGATATCCAAATTCTATTGTCACACTCAACACATGCTTTGGACTGAGGTTATTTATTTATTTTCTGTTGTTGATTACAGAAAGCCTAGATATGATATTTGGCTGTAGTGAATTCATTCTCCTTATTTTAAATTTATAAATAGAGGAGGATTCCTATATTGTGGTTATTCAGTAATAGTCTATGAACACACGCTCTCTGCTTTTATTCACACTAAAAGTTCAGTTGTCTCCACTGCTGATCTGATAACGAGGAAGACAGTTTAAAAGAAAAAAGGAGTTCATAACCCACTTGAATCTAATGTATGAAATATGTCAAGAGCTTTGTAATGTTTTGAACAACCAATAAAAAAAGAATAAAATAAATAAAATAAAACATCTCTAAGAAAAAAGAATTAAGTATAAACATTTATAGTATTTTTTTAAAAATCAAGCGTAAGTAAGTTCACCAATAAGGAGATCTCCACTGGAGGTACCTAGAGTAGAATGTGGATATTAAAAAAAAAAAAAAAGGAAAAAGAAATTTTATTGGTTTACTAGCAACTGAGAAACACAGGAGACTCTCTGCCCCAGGGGAATGCAGGACTTTTAAAAGAGGAACACAAATCTCATGGAAAACAAACAACAAACAAGCTCAGGCACTTTGTGTACAAATGTTTAAGCCTCCTCCATTCCCACCATGTTGGCCCTGCCAAGGACTGACTGAGAGGCCAGTGGAGCTGCCCTGTGCCGGGAGGCTGAAGCCTGCTGAACTGCTGCTCCGGCCCTCAACTTGCACAGCACAGGGTTGATCACTTGGGACAGCCAGGCTTTTGCCCGCTCCTCTCACTCTGCCTAGGGAGGAAGCTGCCTGTGTTCCTGTAACTGCTTTCCTTATGGTCCATCCTGGCCACCCAGACTTGTCTGAAGTTGTGCTGACAGCTTTTTTTTGGGGGGGGAGTTAATCTCCTTTTGGTATTCACAACAGCCAGGGACTTGATATTGATGTATTTTAAACCACATTAAATAAAGAGTCTGTTGCCTTAAAAAAATAAAAAATAAAATAAAAGAGGAACACAGAGCTGGGACCCAAATGTTATCAAATAAGATTATCAGATAAAATTAAGTAGTGTTCAATAAATGTCATCAAGAGAGCTGTTGCTCACGTTCTCAGGTTTGGAGTTTCTTTATTCTTGTTGGCAGTGACATTCTTCTGGGTAGTGAAGAACACTATAGCTTAGTCTAGGGTGGGAGAAATGTCCATCTATCCCCTCATCCCTTGACACCTTTAGGGAGGGGGAGAAGGGAAGGAGGGAAGGAACAAAAACAAAAAAAACTGTCAGTTTTTTTTTTAATATTTTATATTTTTAATTAATTTTTTAATTTATTTTGTTATACATGACAGTAGAATGCACTTATACACTTTGATATGTCATACATAGATGGGATATAATTTCTCATTTTCTGAGTATTGTAGAATCACATTGGTCATACCCTCACATACACACATTGGATAATAATGTCTGTTTCATTCTACTGTCTTTCTTATCCCCACATCCCTTGCCTTCCCCTCCTTTCACTTCCCTCTACCTAATCTAAGGTAACACTATTCTTTTTTTTTTCTTGCCTTTAAACATGTACTTTTTTTCATTACAATTCTTAATACACGTATATACCACAGTTTTATAAGCTACTTACAGCCAAGTGGCAAGGTTTGGACTCAAAGCATTAAGTGGACCCCTGTTAACATCATTTTTTGTCATGTTCCTCAGTGACCAGAGATATTTCTAATTTCCTTGTAGGTTTGGATTCCCTAGACTCCTCACTCTCTTTTTCTTTTTTAATTTGTATTTTATTGGTGCATTGTGATTATACATTATATTGGGATTGATTATGCCATATTTATACATGCACATAACATAATTTGATTAATCTCATCCTCCAGCACCTTCCCTTTTCTTATTTTGTTCTTAACTAGAGAAATGACACCTCAATGTACTTTCATAAAGTAAGTTGGAGAACCAAGTTTAGGATGGCTAATTTTTTGAGAAAAGAGGATATTTATGATGCCTACTGTGTATCCTAGTGTTTGGAGTTATAAAGACAAATAAAGTTAAACAAAGATTACTTTTTCTCAAGGAAATCATCTTGAGTGTTTATATAAATAATTATTAATATAATGTTCATAGTCTTTTTTTCCCCTAATAATACCACTCTCTCTCTTAGAATCATTGTGTTTCTTCTTTCCTGCTTAGAGAGATTTTCATTGTGTCAGGAAATTATCCACCTTCCTTTTATAGTTTAGGATCCTTGTTTTCACACATGTTTTTCAGTGCTTCTTACATGGAACATAAAATTTAAACCTAAATTTTTTCTTTTAATGGAGTAGTGATGTGAACTGTTACCTGTATTCAGGGAAAGATAGTTACACAAATTGTTTACTCTTTAGAATCTCACTTTTGATTTCTTATTCAGATTTTTATTATATAAAATTATATTATGTAAATTATGTTATTTCATAAGTACTTATATTTTAAGAAAATTGACCATCATATAATTGTTATTAAAGCTGTGTAATTATGTTTTTCAAAAGCCTTGCTAGATGAGAAATTCATCAAGATTTCTATTTATTATTGATTTAATTAGTCAGTGACATGGAAAACAGGGTTGATCACTGTAATATTGTAATTCTAGCAACTGATTAGGTAAATTCTGCTGACTTTATAACTATAAAAATAAAATGGGAATTGGTTTTGTGGATTAGGGAAATCACTGTCTCTTCAGAATCATATCATGAGTTTGGAAGAAAACACTGGACTCAAAACATTCTATATCTTTGTTATTTTTCCTTTGGGATTTTGTCAGTTGCATAATACACATTTGATTAAAAACACTTAAAATCTTATCCTTGATTTTACAGAGGAATACTGCAGTTTGAAAATGTTTCCTTTGCAATTGAGCCTTTGGAATCTGCCATGGACTTTCAGCATGTTCTTTATAAATTAGGGGATGGAAACAATGAACTTCCAGTTTTTAACAAAAATGACAGAAGTACAGAAAAACAGCCAGTGGTCTATAACATTGTTACAGGTGAAAAAGAAGTGAGTCATGTACTTTTTATTAGCATTTTCAAGACAGTTATTACTTCTATTTAATTTATTTTTTAAAATTAATGTTATTAACTTGTTGTACAGTCATAGCCAATATGCTTTCCTTGTGAATATCCTAATATTTAATTAAACTAAAAATTTCTCTGAAATCATACATTACCTTTTTTTTATCTTCCAACTTTTTTTTTCATTTAATTCATATAACCCACTTTATTTAGTTCTTCTTCTCTCTCTTTTCCTTTTAGTTGTAGATGGACACAGAACCTTTATTTTATTGTATTTATTTATTTTTTATATGGTGCTGGGGATTGAACCTAGTGCTTCAAGCATACTAGGCAGGCGCTCTACCACTGAGCCACAACTCCAACCCTTTATTTAGTTCTTATATTGTTATGTTATAGAAATTCCTCTTAAGGCTTCTTGGTTACTGTGTATCACTGTCATTTATGATAAACTGTGGCCTAGGTGGATGCATGGAGCAAGGTAGCTCTAATGGTACTAACCAAGGCCATGGAAAGTCCACCTTTATATGGCAATAGCATTACATGGAGGGAGGCCAAATAGAGTTTGAAGCTTTCTGAACTGGGACATAAGAAGAGTGAGTAGGTAGATTTCTTTCTGAAGTGGCAGAGTGTACCTTAATGTGCAGACCCCAGAGGACAAGGATTCATTCAAAGAACTGTGTGCGACCCAGGAAAAGAGGAGGCTAAGCCCTTTAGAGGGCCAGTTGTGGAAATGGGTGCTATTGCTTACAAAGTAGCAGAATTCTTTCTTAGTGAGGAGTACATCTAAACTCTCACATTGAGATCTAAAAAGAAACTAAGCAAAATAAGTTAATGAAAGAAGAATCCTTTCATTCACCCTCTTTTGAATACACTAGAAGTCTTGAAAATAATTCTGTCCAAAGATAAGTAAATGTATTAAAATTTAAGTTTAAATGTACTCTTTAAGCTGATGCATATAAGTAAAAATTCTACATGTTTATGGAAAACCATGTGTTATTCTGATACATGCTTGTATTGTGTAATGTTCATGACAATGCAAAGAAATCAGTCTCCTCAAACATTTATCATTCTTTATAGCAAAAAATTCAAATCCTGTCTTCTAGTTTTTTGAAATATAAAGCACATTATTTTTATCTATAGTCATACTACTGCCAAGCATACCAGAACTTCTTGCTCCTATTTGTGACTCAGCACCCACTTATAACCTTTCCCCACCCCTCCCTTCTTACCACTCTCCTAGTTTCTGCTGACGAACACTCTATTCTTAATTTCTATGACATCTACATTTTAATTCCACAGAGATAGATCAAGTGGTACTTGCTTTTCCATGCCTGACTTGTTTCTCTTAACAGTGATCTTCAGTACCATCCATGTCACAAATGGCAGGATTTCATTCTTTTTAATGATTGAATTATAATCCATTCTGTATGTGGACCACTTTTTAAAAAATCTACTCATAAGTGCATGGACACTTAAGTCATTTCCTTCTCTTGGATTAAGGAATGTAGCCCTCAAAATGAAAGAAACATACTTTTGAAAAATACTCAATGCAGTAGGCAAGTACATTTTAGATAGTGCTGAATTCTTTATTCAATAAAATGTAAAAAAACATGGATACTAGGAAATGATGAGGCAATATCCTGAATTGAAAAAGAAATTAAGAAGACCACAGAAATTAAAGGAAGCTAGATGATCTAAGGAAATTGTTATGAAACAAAACAGAATATAATAGCCTATTTTGCTAGTATTCTTCCTTTTTCTATTGGTACGAGTCTCCATACTGCTTACAGCCTTTGGACACCAGGCCAATGAGAGTCAGCCCTGGCACTTGTGCTATAATTATAGGACAAATCCCCCTGTTTTCCTTGGGATTGTTAAGTATGAGAATGAAGCCTGAGGATGATTATGGTCAGATCTGAACCACACTGAGAGAATCTGCCTGATACTAAAAACAACACAGGGGACTGAGAGATGGATATATATAGTATCATTAGTGTATGTGTATGTGTGTGTGTGTGTGTGTGTGTGTGTGTTTGTATTTGCTGAAACAGATTTAAGTTGTTTTGAGACCTTAAACTCAAGTCATGATTAATACAATTCTTTGATATATGTTTCAAAAATGCACAACAAAGTAGTGAGTAGAATTTTCAGTTCAGTTTATATAACAAAAATGAAGGATTTTTTATATTCTCAGAGGTAATACTTAATAAGAATTTGGCTGGAAATTTTCCAAAAGTGAGGAAAGACAATTTGTGGATTCAAGAAATGTGATGAATTCCAAGCAAGACTAATTTAAAGAATTATACTTCTTGATATTAAATAGTGAAACTGTAAGATATCAAGACAATGAAAAACGCTGAAAACCAACAAGGAAAACATTATATTGTCTTCATAAGAATGACAGAGAAACAGCTGACTTTAAAACAAAAGCAAAAAATTCAAGGTGGCATAACTGTGTCTTCAATAGGCTGAAAGAAATAATTGCCAACTTAGATTTTAATATATGGCCAAGGTATACTTCATGAATAAAAGCAAAATAAAGATATTCTCAACAAACAAAAAAATTGTTTTGCCACTAGCACAACTGCACTAAAAAATTCTTGAATGATATTCAAGAATATCTTTCAGATAATTTCCATTCTGGTTGGAGTGAAATGGAATCTCAGTGTAGTTTTTTTTTAAATATTTTTTTTAGTTGTAGATGGACGCAATACTTTTATTTTATTTATTTATTTTTATGTGGTGCTGAGGATCAAACCCAGTGCCTCATATGTGTGAGGCAAGCACTCTGCTACTGAAGGCAGAGGAAAATAAATCTTGATGAATGGTCAGAAATTTTGGAAGGAATAAATAGCAAGATGAGTAGTTTATATATATGAATTATAAATTAACACCTACTACACAGAAAAACAATGATGCTTTTTATGGATAAAGAATTAAAATACCTGATAGCAAATTCATATAAATGATAAGGATGTAAGTGGAGTTACAGTGATCTATGTTTTCTTGAATTATCCAGGATAGAAGTAAAGATATTAACAAAGTGCCTGGCTTTTCCTGGAAGCAGTATGAAAGTATTACACAATATTAGATTTATGTAAGTTAATGGTAAATGCTTTTTATCTCGAAGGAAAGAAAGTTTTTAAGTTACAAACTACTAGAGAAAAAAGTAGAGTCACAAAAAAATCAATATAAAGTAATGAAACAAGGAGAGAAAAACAAATATTAAATAGGGAGGATAAATTAAAGATACAAACTTAATGGGAGCCTTAAACTCAAATATATTGGAGGACATATGCAAGTGGTTTAGGAATTAAAAGACAAAAATAACAAAATAATGCAACTATTATTTTTTCAAAGAGAGACATATAAAATGAAGATGAAAGGATGGAAAATGCAAATATTATCCCAAAGAGGTCATGCAGTTATATGAATATTGGATGATATTTTTTGCTAATGTACAAAGCTCTACCAGAGGTAAAGAGGGCTATTTAATAATGATAAGAAGTTCATTATACCAAGATAATGGGTATTCATGTATCATATAAAAAAGATAGAACTGTAAGGAAAACCAGTTCAAAACCACAATGGGAAATTTTACCTTAGAATAACTCCTTTCGTAGTATAGTTAATAAAGCAATCAGTTAAAGTCTGATTGTAAGGATGGGGAAATTATTTCTTTTATAAGTGCATTATAGTTATACATAATGGTGAGACTCATTGTGACATGTTCATTAATGCATATAACATAGTTTATTACAATCCCAAATACTTCCTCTTTCCCTCCTTTGCACCCTCTCTGGATCTTTGTCTCTACTCAACCAGCTTTCCTTCTATGTATTTGTTTAAAATTATATTTATACATAAAATGTGAATGAATTGCTGTATATCCATACATGCACATAGCACAATTCCCCTTCATCCCTTTTCTCTCTGCTCCTCCCTCCCCCTTGGGCTCTGCTTTTACTCGATAGATCTCCCTTCTATTTTTCATGGGGTCCCCCCCTCCCCGACCCTGGCTTTTGTGTGGTACTGTGGATTGAACCCAGGGTGCTTAGCCACTGAGATACATCCCCAGCCCCTTAAAAAAATATATTTTCTTAGAGATAGGGTCTCACTGAGTTGCTTAGGGATTTTCTAAGTTGCTGAGACTGGCTTTGAACTCGTGATCCTCCTGCCTCAGCCTCTCAAGCTGCTGGGATTATAGGTGTGCACCACTATGCCTGGCCACGGGGTTTATTTCTTTTTACTCTCTAACTTTGTTATATGACAGAAAATATTCAATCCTGACTCTCTGAGTCTGGCTTATTACACTGAGCATGAAATCCTCCAGTTCTGTTTACCAGAAAATGACATAATTTCATTCTTCTTTATGACTGAGTAGAAATCCATTGTGTGTGTATGTATGTGTATATATTACCTTTTCTTTATCCATTCATCTGTTAATGAGCATCTATGCTAGTTCAATAACTTGAATATTGTGAATTGTGCTGCTATAAGCATTGTAATGCATGTATTACTAGAGTATGTTGATTTTAGTTTTTTGGATGAATACCAAGGAGTGGGATAGCTGGGTGATATCCCACTATGGGATATGGTGGCTCTATTTCTAGTCTTTTGAGAATATTTGTACTGCTTTCCAAAGAGGTTGTACTAATTTGCAACCACCAACAATGTCTAAGTTTATTTTTCTACCAACATCCTAAAAAGCACTTATCTTTATTTGTATTTTTTTAAAATTTTAATTGTTCTTTTTATATATACAGGACAGTAGAGTCTATTTTGACATTTTTATACAAACATGTTGTATATCTTATTCTAATTATGATAATGGATATGGATGTACATGCTATTGAGATTCACTGTGGTGTATTCATATATGTACATGGGAAAGTTTTGTTAGATTTATTCCACTGCCTTTCCTGTTCCTTTTCCTCCTCCTTTCCCTTTATTCCCCATTTGTCTAATCCATTGAACTTCTATTCC